AATCTAATTTAAATAATAATTTAATGTTTATTTTCGCAAAAGTATCGTTTTGTTTTATTGCCAATGAACCAAAGTTTAATATTAGTACAGAAATATTTTGATATCTTCAGTAGGGGAGACCGAGGTGAGTTGTAACAAAGGTAAGTTGAAACAATGTTGATATCTCGAAACCAATAATAGTCGATAATCGGGCAACAGTACAGTTTTAATACACGTAAGACAAGGTAGTTTGTCAGCTTATGTTGACGACGTGTAGTAAGCGTGTCGTCTCTATGACGTTCGTGGCATCAAATTAACCTAAAGTAAGTTTTCACAATATTCTTTGGAATATGCATTGTTAGAAATGGGTAAATATCAAGAAAAGGGGAGCCACCTCCGATGACCTTGACCTTGACATATGTTGTCAAGGTCGTGACCCTGAGTGACCTCCACCAGATTTTAGGTGGCGGTCGCTGTCCGTTAAAAAGTTATGAACAAAAAAAGTTTGAAAAATTACATTTCGTTTCTGCTATACCACGTGCTATCCACGCGAAGCGACTCTCATGTTCGACTGTCACCCCCCCTTCCCCTTGCTTTAGGGGGGGCACTACTTCCCCGCTTGTAAAACATTCACACATACGCAATCATCTATTTATTCGGTTTGTTTTGCTTTCATTTAAGCAATGGAAAGATTACTATTATGATATACTCACAACAGTCTTCTTTCTCACTTTGTAATGTCCTTTACAAGAACGTATTGATGTATTTTTTAATATTATGGCTAGTTTCTATTCACCATATCGCGATCAATGAATAATTTATTCACCATATCGCGATCAATGAATATGACTTTACAAGAACGTATTGATGTATTTTTTAATATTATGGCTCGTTTCTATTCACCATATCGCGATCAATGAATAATTTATTCACCATATCGCGATCAATGAATATGCATGGAAAGTCGAAACCCACGTGCGACAGTTTCCACCCGAAGCAAAGGTTATTCCACACCAACAAATGGGATGGTTTAGGTTAGAAAAAAATCGTAGTGGAGCCCCCCGCAGGGGGGCGGAACCCACTGCCTCCACGCGTACAATTTCTACACGTAGAATCTATGATTGTACTGTCGCACGTGGATTTCGACTTTCCATCCGAAGCAAAGATTATTCCACACCAACAAATGGGTTGGTTCAGGTTAGTTTTTACCGTAGTGGAGCCCCCCCTGCGGGGGAGCGGAACCCACTGTATCCATGAATATTCATTGATCGCGATATGGTGAATAAATTATTCATTGAGTCGAAGGTGAGAGTCGTGCACCCCTGAAGCAGGGGGGAGGGGGGTGAGAGTTGGAGGTGAGAGTCGTGCGCCCCTGAAGCAGGGGGGAGGGGGTGAGAGTCGGAGATGAGAGTCGTGCGCCCCCGAAAGTCAAAACCTATGTAGAATAGTATTTAATACTGCATATATAACAAAAATAATACGTTATTTTTCGAACTTTTTTTGTTCATAACTTTTTAACGGACAGCGATCGCCACCTAAAATCTGGTGGAGGTCACTCAGAGTCACGACCTTGACAACATATGTCAAGGTCAAGGTCATTGGAGGTGGCTCCCCTTTTCTTGATATTTACCTAAAAATGTTCTTAAATTTCATTAACTTTTAATGTACATTGGTGAATGAAGTTTAATTTCTCTGTAACTGAAAGGACTATTAATGCATATGTTAATGAGATTTAAGTTTACAGTAACTGAAAAATTAAGTGTAATGAAATTTAATATACTTTTCATTTACGGATATAAATGACATTTAATTAATCGTAATTGAAATATCTATTAATGTACATATTAATGAAATTTAAGTTTGTAGTACATTAAATTTCAACACGCTTCACTTTTAAGTTACATTTACGAATATTAATAATATTTTAATTAAGCCTAATACTATTAACGCTTAACGTTTAATACGTTTACGTTTCTTACATGTCATTAACGTAAATTACTTTTCAGTTACAGATCTCGTACTTTTCATTAACGTGTAAATTAATTTCAATAATAATGTGTTCATTAATTTCAATACGCACGTTCATCACATTTAAGACTACTGTAATTTAGTTTTTATTTACATTAATCATTACATTTAATTTCGTACATAACCACATGCTTCCTTTACATGTTAATTAAAATTCATTGAGAAATTTCTAACAGTGTAGTATCTCTTTTGTTTATGCATTACCGGGTGTTTGCTCGTAGTGCGAGCCGAGATGGTCGGCTTGCTTAACGGGCTGGTTTCCACGTCGTTCTCGCGGTAACACTGCGTCGCGGGACGTGGTCGAGAAATAATGCGTGGTTTCTCTGCTTTAATAACTTTATTCACCTCGTACGGGCGGTCGTAGTAATATTCGCGTGACAGTGGTGCACCCTTTTTCACGTTGTTCGACGCTCGACGCGATAATGCAAGGACACGTGCATTCGTGACGACGGATCGGCAGCCATGATGATTTTTCGTGAGGAGATGCGCGGCGCGCCAATGCGTAGCAGACCTACGTTGCCGACTTCGGCCGTTCTCGTGATCCGTCGCGGTGGCAGAAAGGGAATAAGACGAGTACGAGACGACGAGTACGAAACACGCCGCCCGCCTTGAAAGTACTTACTTTCAATAGTTGGATACAAAGAATGCAAAAGTGTTATGTATCTATTAACTAGACATGAAATGTAAACTATACTGGAGTAATCCAGAATCTCGCTCGTAAGAAACATCGAAAAGAGTATGAATTTGACCCTCCGCTGAGCAAGGTGAAAACAAATAATACATTAAGTCATATAAGATCTAATTTTAAAATTTAATGCTGAATAAAACATAGACTAGCCTTCGATAGGCAATATCGCTAATTTAGCGAGTGGCCTCGTGTAGGAACCCTTGACAGTTTTTACAGTCGCGGCGCGTGCAATGCCATCGGGGCCAGGATGAATTTCCTGGACCCGGCCCAGTACCCATTGAAGAGGAGGCAAATTTTGTTGTTTTATGAGAACGAGTTGATCGATCGACAGTTGAGTCCCCTTGTTAATCATCCATTTGGTTCGCGCCTGCAAAGAATTGAGGTACTCATTACTCCATCGGCGCCAGAAGTGCTGTCGGGTTTGTTCTAAACGTTGCCACCGCAATAATTTATTTTCATTAATGTTGCTCAAATCCGAGCCAGGAAGACCATTTAACGCCGTGCCAACCAAAAAGTGTCCCGGGCTTAGATACGCAAGATCGTTGGGGTCGGAACTTAGCGGCGCGAGAGGGCGTGAGTTAAGAATCGCCTCTATTTCGCAGAATATAGTTTGCATTTCTTCAAAGGTCAACAGGGCCTTGCCTACGATTCGAGTCATATGATGCTTGGCGGATTTTACAGCCGCCTCCCATAATCCCCCAAAATGGGGCGCGTTCGGTGGGATGAAACTCCATGAAATTTCTAGCTCCCGTAAAAAGTGTTTGATCTCGGCCTGGATCTGTTGACCATTGTATACATCGTACAATTCTTGGATTTGCCTTTGGGCACAAACACGGTTCCATTATCCGAATACATGTGCAAGGGCCTTCCTCTACGAGAAATGAATCGCTTAAACGTGGCAATAAAAGCCTCGGATGTGAGATCGCTCACCAATTCCAAATGTACCGCCTTCGTGGCGAAGCACACGAAAATTGAGAGGTACGCCTTGTGGGTTCTTGAATTGCTTTCCTTCGCGCAGCAAGAAAGGCCCTGCATAATCCACACCGCAATGAGAAAAGGCCCTGGAGGCGCTGACTCGGGCGGCAGGGAGCGAGCTCATTAGAGCTTCCGATTGACCAGGCTTGGCCCTAAAACACGCTACGCATTTTTTAATTATTCCGCGCGTATTGGATCGCAACGATAGCGGCCAAAATCGTTGGCGCACGAAAGCCATTGTGGCTTGCATGCCAGCATGCAAGTTTCGCACGTGCTCATGCTCTATGATACGCTGGGTTAGAATATGCTTGCGAGGTAATAGGATGGGATGACATGCTTCAAATGTTAAATCCGAGTTTTTTAGCCGTCCGCCCACCCGCATCAATCCATTCTCGTCTAGAAATGGAGATAGGGATAATAAATTACTTGTGATATTTATAACGCCGCCCTTACTTAGCGCCTGGTATTCACTGTGAAATGCTTGCCGCTGGACGACCCTGCAAACGCAATTTAACGCAACGGACATTTCAGTAGGGGATACAAAATTGGACGTTGCATCCGCGCGATGCGTCTTGGATAGTCTTAGACAATATGCTACGATACGACATATTTTACTTAAACTAGAATGTTTGTTTAGCAGACTGCTGACGGCGCATTGACTTGTATTGGTAACAGAGGCGGTCACACGAATCCCCACCCTCTCAGGCAAATCGTCCTCCAATCGCGCGAAGCTGCCGGCCGGCCAACGCTCCTGGCTCCACTTTAGGAATTCGGGTCCATTCCACCACCTCTCGGAGTCGATCAAATCGCGCGGACTTGAACCCCGTGACAGAATGTCAGCAGGATTATCGGGGGACGCGACGTAACACCAATATTCTCGATTAAGCGTTGGATTTCCCCTACTCTATTTGCCACAAATACTGACCAACGACGCGAGGGGGAAGTTATCCAGTTTAAAGCAATGGTTGAATCGGACCATAAATATATTTGCCATTTCGAAATCTCTAAAGAATCGCTCACCCTGTGAACTAGGCGCGCCAGTAGCAAAGCGGCCGATAGCTCCAGTCGCGGCAACGAGATTACCTTGAGGGGCGCGACACGTGACTTCGAACACAGCAATTCTGAATGATAATGGTCGGCCCTAAGCTGAGTGCGAACATATACGCAAGCGCCGTAGGCGCGCTGACTCGCGTCGCAAAACCCGTGCAATTGCAAATTCGATAGGCCAGCTTTAGGTTTGACGCATCTGGGAATGTTCATTTCGCCCACGGCAGCCATCTGCTCCTTAAAGGTAACCCAGCGTGTGTGGATGTCCAGCGGAACAGACTCATCGCATTGAATGAAAAGCTGCCAAAGATCCTGCAAAATGAGCTTTGCCGTGACAAACATTGGTCCCAGCAGGCCTAAAGGATCGAAGAGTGTAGCAATTTCGGATAATATTATTCGCTTTGACACGACTTGGTGAGTTTTGGACTCGGATTCACAAGGGAACTGGAATGTATCGAGACAGCGATTCCATTGCATTCCTAGAATACGCGAATGGGTAGCATTGTCGCTAATAGTGACTGGTTCGCGTTTGCGATCATCCAAATTTAGTAGCTCAGGACAATTCGACGCCCATTTGCTTAACTCAAGTGTTCCTAACATCAGTAATTGAATGACCTCATCGCGAATCACTGTCAGTTTGGCAATCGTGTCAGCTCCAGTGAGCATGTCATCGACATAAAAATCCCGAGCGAGGCACTCAGAGCCGCGAGGAAATTAAAGAGCGTGTTGATCAGCTAAATGCTTAAGGCACCTGGTGGCTAAAAATGAGGCGGGAGCCGTACCATAAGTGACGGTAGTAAGCTCATACGTATTGACATTAGCAGATGGGCTGTTGCGCCAAAGTATTCTCTGCAAACATGTCTGAGACGGATGCACCGATATTTGCCGATACATTTTTATAATGTCGGCAGTAATGACATAAGTGAAAAAATGAAAACGTGTCAAGATCTCACAAATCTCGCTGCACGACTGGGCCAACCAGGAGCGCATCATTTAAAGATATGCCGGAACTGCTGCGGCAAGAAGCGTCAAAAACAACTCGAATTTTTGATTCTTGCCCGCTTGTTTTAAATACACAATGATGGGGGAGATAGTAGCATATGATTTCCTCGGCTGCGGGGGAATCCAACTGTCGCATGTGCCCTAATGATAGATATTCATCAATAAAGGCCGTGTATTGCATCTTGAGGACTAGGCTGCGCTTAAAGCGCTTTTCAATACCCTTCAAACGCTTGAGGGCTACCTCGCGCGAATCGCCGAGGCTGCTTAAAACCTGCCCCTTGACCGGGAGTCTGACCGTGTATTTACCTGAAGGATCCTGCGATACATTGTCTAGAAAGTGACGCTCGCAGGCGCTTTCCTCCATTGTGTAGTTATTGCCTTGCGCGAATACGTTATCCATTTCCCAAGCGCGATTGACTTGCTCATGCAACTCGGAATTGCTAATGGCTGCGTGACATGAGTGGATCCTTGGGCTAACCGGCGTGTAGACACCCAAACGTCCAGCCAATATCCAGTCCAAACGCGTCTTTTGGAGCGTGGGGTGCCTATCCGAAGACTGAACCTGACCGACGCATAGGAGGCTCCAAAAGATCTCTGCTCCGATCAAAAGATCAATATCCGATGAGACGTGGAATTGCGGATCGGCGAGGCGAATGTTGCGTGGAAATTCAAACTTGTCTCGCCTTAAAGAGAATGCTGGAATTTTGTCAGTGACCCGATCCGCGACGATGCAGTCGATAACCGCGTTGTACGAGCTGAATCGCAATTGCAACTTGACTTGAACTATGCGATTCGATATGGCTACCGTTCCATTGACGCCTGAAATTGTTACGTCTAGCGGGCGCGTCGGTAAACCAAGTGACTCTACTAATCTCTTAGATACGAAATTCGCTTGAGATCCACAATCCAACAAGACTCGACACAATCTAGACGACCCCTCACTATTGTACGTGTGTACTACAGCAGTTGAGAGCATGACGGACTCATCGCCGAGTCCCCCCCCTGAGTGGGTTGCCAATACCGAGGTAGAATTGGCTACCTTAGACGTGGTTTCCTTGACAGGATCACTGGCAGGTGACTCTGCAGCTGCGGACGCGTGAAGGAGCGTATTGTGCTTTAAATGGCACACCTTGCATTGACCAGAGGTGCATTTATTTGAAGCATGAGAGGTGGAGCGCAAGCAATTGGCGCATAACTTGCGACTGCGAATTTCCGCGGCCCTCTGAGAGACCGGGAGTGCGACAAAGTTTTTACAATAGTAAATGGCGTGGTCGCCCTGGCAAAAATGGCATTTAGATTTGACGGTAGCCGCGCACGAAGAAGACCGCTTAGCGTTCGGCTGCGACTTCGACTCTGCTCTTTTTGTAAGAGCGGTGCCGGAGAGCTTTGCGGTAGCCTCAAGTACCTGACATCGATGAGCGACGAAATCTAACAGCTGCTTAAGCGACGGCAGCTCGTTGCCCGTTAACGACACCTCCCACTCGCGCAACGTGATTGGGTCAAGCTTAGAGGTTAGGATGAGAATGAGAAGGTCATCCCAATGTGTCGTGGGACGTTTCAATGCCTGAAGGGTGTGCAAGTGCTTCGCGGCTCCGTCCGAGATTTTTCTGAGATCAACCGAATTCTCCCTTGACATGGATGGCAAATCGATTATTGCCTTGACGTGATTTTGGACGATGACACGCTTGTTGTCATATCGGTCCCGAAGAATTGACCATGCCACGTCGTAGTTAGCGTCCGAAATTTCTAACGAGCTAATTACGGCACTCGCGTCACCGGTTAGGGACGCGCGCAAATATTGAAAACGTTGCGCGTTCGAAAGTGAGGTGTTGGAATGGATGACCGAATTGAATGTGTCAAAAAATGGGAACCATTCATCGTATTTGCCGGAGAATGTCGGTAAGTTTAACTTCGGCAGCCGCACGCGCGCTCCATGATCAGAATCGCGAAAAGTCGAAGGCAGAGAAGAGGTAGAGGCCATTGGTGTCGGCGGAGGTGATAGATATTCACGAAATTTTGCCGATAACGCATAAAAGGCCTCCTCAAAGACGGCCCGATCATCCGCTTCCGCCTCATCATTTGCCTCTAACCGCGCCTGCACTCCATTGTATTCGGACCAATAATGTTCGAGCTTGGCTTTACGCACTTCCAACTGCGCCATTACCTATGGTGTAATGGCCGTAACCGCCTCTACGTATGTTCGAATACGCGTACACGACGCCTTTATAGTAGTGCGCTGTCGCTTGAGAATAGCCGTCTCTGATTAGTCCATTTTGGGCGCGAAAACGAACGCGAAAGTATAACGGGACGATAAATGATCTTGGCTGGCAACGGAAAAACAATGGTCTTCCCTACCTTAAACGCATGCGATTGAAGCCGAAATACAGATGCGAAAGATGCCAGATGTCTTCTGGTTGAGTGGAGGACGTCCTGTCAAGAGCGCTGTGGCGCTAAGGATGACTCCTGTTGCACGCCGTCCGAGATGGACCTGCTGCCGCTGCGGGCTCTCGGAATGGTACGGTGCTTGCTGCGAAGCTGGAGGGCCGGTGCTCGCCAATGGACACCGGGAAACCAGAAAGAAAGTCGGGCTGTGTCTCTGGATTAGATGCTTGCCTAGCAACTGCTTGAGATCGAACGACGGCTGTGTGTTGTCGTTGTAATGGCCGCTGGTGTGACGCTGTCGTATCGTCGTCGCAACGGTTGCTGCTGCGACGGTCGTGGCTGGTCGTCACGATGGCCTCGAATGTGTCGATGAAAGTGCTGATCACCACTTCACAAAGATCGGATAGTTGCTAGTATCCGGCTCGAAGGACCAAAAATTGTTTGCTCGTAGTGCGAGCCGAGATGGTCGGCTTGCTTAACGGGCTGGTTTCCACGTCGTTCTCGCGGTAACACTGCGTCGCGGGACGTGGTCGAGAAATAATGCGTGGTTTCTCTGCTTTAATAACTTTATTCACCTCGTACGGGCGGTCGTAGTAATATTCGCGTGACAGTGGTGCACCCTTTTTCACGTTGTTCGACGCTCGACGCGATAATGCAAGGACACGTGCATTCGTGACGACGGATCGGCAGCCATGATGATTTTTCGTGAGGAGATGCGCGGCGCGCCAATGCGCAGCAGACCTACGTTGCCGGCTTCGGCCGTTTTCGTGATCCGTCGCGGTGGCGGAGGGGGAATAAGACGAGTACGAGACAACGAGTAGGAAACACCGGGGTTTTACCTTCGATATTCTTGTAGCTTAGTAATTTAAGTTTTTTATTTGAGGTTAGTTTTGTTTATATTTATTAGTTTTGTAGGAAATATTTGTAGTGAAGCTTTGATAGATCAAATTTATATGATCGAGGTAGGTTGACACACCTTGTTTCAACTTACCTCGATTCCTACACGGAAAGAATGTTCTTTATCTAGGAAATATGATATAATATAGTTATGGTACAATACAATACTTTAAGGATTTTTGCACTTCAGTAAAGTTAATCAAACTTATTTTATATTTTAATATAGTTTTATTAATGAATGGGAGAGATTTAGGAGAAAATTCTTCAAAATACAATGTTGTCCCACGACTATCATACTTTCAGGATAAACTCTAAGAAAATTCTCTCCGTGTATACTTTAATTTGTTACAGTACGATTTGCATGAAAATGATTTATTATTGTTATAGGATGCCAAATAAATATATTCGTAAGACTGATCGAAGTCAGGTAAGCGTAGAGATGTATGAGCTTGCTGCGAAAGAAGTTAGTTTAAAGCAATGGAGCCTTAGAGACGCCACATCGTCATACAACTTAAATTATTCTACTCTGCATCGATTTATTAAAAGGAAGAAAGCCTTTGATGAAGGTAAAAGTCAAAATCAGCCCAGTATTGGATATTTAAAAGATTTTATATTTACTGCAAAAGAAGAGAAAATTCTATGTGAATATCTTTTTACTTGTTCAGCTACTAATTATGGTCTTTCTACGAAAAAATCAAGACGCTTAGCATATGAACTGGCTAAAGAACATAATAAGACAAAACCTGCTTCATGGGAAAAAATCAAATGGCTGGAGAAGTGTGGTTGAAATTGTTTATGGAAAGACATCCGATTCTCTCTTTACGGTCTCCTCAAGCTACGAGTCTCAGCCGTGTTACTAGCTTTAACAAGATGAATGTTAATTTGTTCTTTGAAAATTACACTAGTATTTTGCATAAGCATGGATTTCAAGCTACCGACATCTGGAACATGGATGAAACGGGTGTTACCACAGTTCAAAAACCAAATAAAGTAATAGCTCGAAAAGGAGAGAAACAAGTTAGTGCTATGACATCAGCAGAACGAGGCACGTTAGTTACACTTGCTGTTGCTGTGAATACTAAAGGAAATAGTATTCCATCGATGTTTATTTTCCATCGAAAACGTTTCCAAGATCATTTTATACGTGACGGTCCAATTGGGTGCATTGGAACGGGCAATGATTCAAGTTGGATGACAGAGAAAGACTTTTATAAATTCATGCAACATTTTAAGAACCACGTTAGGTCTTCCCCCGAACATAAAGTATTGATGATATTTGACAACCATAATTCTCATGTAGCTGTGAAGAACATAGAATTTTACAAGCAAAATAAAATAATTTTACTAACATTTACTCCACACTGCACCCATAAATTGCAGCCGTTGAATCGTGCCGTTTTTGGCCCTTTAAAGAAGGCTATTAATTCTTCTTGTGATAACTGGATGCGTTCAAATCCAGGCAAAGTCATGACTATTTACAACATCCCTGGAATTATGAAAACGTCTTTTGAAATAGCAATAACGACAAAAAATATAATTTCAGGATTTTCTGCATGTGGAATCTGGCCTGTCAATACAGATATTTTTACAGAGCAAGATTTTTTACCAAGCCAAGTTACAGACTGTCCTTTGAGTAATTCAAAGACAGACGCAACACTTGTTCAAAAAGTTCCTCTACAATCAACTGAGATTGATATTCCTTCAACGTCAACTTCTGTTGGAATGACTAATACTAACGAAGTTGCGACAGCTAAAAAGTTTATCGGTTCTGTTTTAAATCTTGTTTTGCATCTTGTTCATCAAACAACACTATAGAAAAGGAATTTTTGCCTGAAACTATTAGACCGTTGCCTAAAGCTTTACCAAGAAAGGGAACTCAAAATAGAAGAAAAATCAAATCAGCTATTCTGACAAATACTCCTGTCAAAGAAGAATTAGCACAATTAGAAGCTGAAAGAAATCTGAAGAAAATAAAGAAGAGGGTATTTTAAAAGGAACAACAGAAAATTAACAAAAAGAAACGTCAATTGAAGAAAGAATCTGTTCAAAAAAATAGAACTGAGAGTGGTGATAATGAAGATCGTTCCTGTTTGTGCTGTCTGGAACTATTTTCAAACAGCCAATCTGAGAAAAAATGGGTGCAATGCATGGAGTGCAAGAAATGGTCTCATGAAGACTGCACTGAAGGCGAATTGCAATATGTATGTCACAACTGTTTGTCAAATTAAGCTTTACTTAGTAATAAGTATTTAATTAGTAATAAGTATTATGGTTATTTTTGTTATTTTATTTTTGAAATTCTATTACTAAGAAAATGTTCAAGTTTAAATTCAACCAAATAAAATTTAATTCGGTTAATTTCTTTATCTCAAAAGATTATGTTAAACTATATTGAAGATATAAGACTTATTTCACTTATGATTATTTCACTTATGAATTATTTCAATTATAACTATTAATAAATATTTACTAATAAATATCTATATGTTACTGTTCGAAAAGGTGCCTTATAGGTATCTAACAATGGTAATCGAAATAAAAATCAATTAATACATACATATTATTTAATTTTGGTACAAACATTATCTGTTTCAACTCACCTTCCCTATATATTGTTTCAACTTATCTCGATGCTAGGCGGGTTACAACAGTTGGAGTACTTTTATTAAAGCTTATTTTTCAAGAACTAGTAACAAGGTTTGAATCTTTTACTTTTAAGAATTAATAAAGGAAGAATCAAGGAGATTTAAAAAAATGAAAAATTTTAATCCTAACATTAAATTTGAGATAATTATGATGAAAAACGTAAAAATTGTTTCAATCCACTTCGGTCTCCCCTACTTTTGTTTACAATTTTGTTTAAACGTTAGGGGGTACGATATAAGTAACTTCCCCCTATAAGACAAAATGTTCGCAATTATGATATTCTTCAAAAAAATGCTGCATACAAAAATATTGCTTGCACCAGGAACATCGTATTACAGCAGGTACACCACATATGCAGCAGCGAGGTATTTCTTGAATATCCTTTCCGTTGAAACAAAAATCTACTAGAGTTTCGAATTGTGGCGGCCGTTCTTCGATGTATCCACTCTTATACCAGGCATATTTAAAAAGCTTATGAAATCGTGGAGAAGATATATTAAAGATTGTATATATTAAAGATTGTAATTTGATGATATTATTTCTCAAATGTAAATTAATTTCATAATTTAGTAACATAACGCGATCACTGAAAGTTCTCACAAAGTTTTTCCATAGTTTAAATCCATAAACGTCAAGAGGTTGAGTAGTTCCCGTAGTTCTCTTTGGTATAGTTAAAATTCATATTTCTTTATCTTTTTTTGGCATAAATTCTTGCAGACTTGCAGAACAATGTCTCCAAAAGTCGAACAACAGCACATTAAAACTTCCAGTTGCGGATACAAATACATTTGTAAACCAAGACTGAAAGTGTTGTGTAGTTAATTTGCCCGATTTTGATGCTGCAATGTAAACAATTGCAGATCTAAACAAACTTTCCTTTACGCGTGGTCCGAAATTTCCACTAGCTTCTTTCAGTACCAAATAGAGAGGCGATTTCAATTGTCCGCTTGCAGAAATTATGGGCAAAATTATGTAACTATGCGTAGTTGCCGATAGTGATTGAACTATACTTTCAAATGTTTTAACACCTTGCGTGGTAAGTGTTCTGCCTGAATGTAATTCTAAATTGAATCCACTTTCGTCTGCATTATATATTGTATATTCCCTAGTTCAAAAAGATTTATATTAGATTTTACGGTAGCTATGAATTCCTGACATGCAATCTGTAATTGCTCTTTATCTCTTTGCGCAGAACGACTTACAAATTTTGTTATTTTTCTTGACACGATTCTATAT